ACTGGGGTTTTTATGTATTAGTACTTATGTATATATTAGGAAACTTGGTGGTGCAACATTTTGGTGCTCATCTGCTAACAGAAACTCTGATGGTTCAAACCCTCACAACAACTTCTCAAGAGAAAGACCAGGTGATTTGCTTTCAAGAAAACTCTATGGAAAACTCTTACTATGTCACATGGGGTAACTATGAGTTAGAATTGACTACATGGTGCCTAACAACATTATTTATATATTTTACTCTCTAAAGTGGTACAAATGGTTAACACACTTGGTTGCTAACTGAAAGGTTAAAGGTTCAAGTCCACCCAGAGATGCCTAATAAAAAAGGTCTTGTGATCTACCTCCAAAAATTATCAGCCACTGAAAACTCTATGAAACACAATTCTACTCTGATACGCACTGCATTGCCATGAGTCAGAATTGATTCAATGTCAGCTATAAATAATAATAATAAAGTAGGAGTTCAGGCTAATTCATGAGTGGAACCATTAGGTTGAATATGTGTGTAATTTCATATAAATGCAATCATGTAACATGTGGCCTTTGGTGTAGACTAACTTCTTCATTTAGCCTGTTTTCAAAGTTCATCCATACTGTAACAGGAATTAATAGTTCATTCCTTTTAATTGTTGAATGTGTTTTTTTATAAAGATATAACATATTTTGTTTATGCATTTATCAGTTGATGGACACTTGCTATATGAACAATATTCCTATGAACATTTGAGTATATTTACATTTAAATCTTTAATCTATACAAAATTTAGTTTTGAATATAGTATGAAATAGGAGTTGCAGTAGTCAAGGCTATGTGTCAACTTGGCTGGGCTGTGAGTCTGAGTGGCTTGGCAGCTAAATGTAGTTATCCCCCATGATGAGATTAGGTAACCAACTCCATGGTGGAATCAGCTGTGAGATGTTAACCAGTGGAAGGGGAGCTGCCTTTGGGGTGAGGCCTGCTTCCAGTATATATAGAGAAGCTCTGAGAAAGATCTCTAGCTTTTTGGCACATATGGATCTGGCATTTAGCTGAGTCTTCAGTTCCCGTACTTCAACCAGTAGCCTGCCATGTTGTTTGCTGAACTTGGGATTGTTCCTGGACTTGAACCAGTAGCCTGCCATCCTGCCTGCTGATCTTGGGACTGTGTATTTTAACCTGCCAGCCTTGGGTTCACCAGTCTCAGCAGCCAGCAGCTGTGTGAATCAGAAGAAGCCTCCAGCTCCAGTGGGCCTGGAACAAGAGGCAGAGCTGAAGCCCATTGTTAAGGGGCCTTCACCCAGTCCCTATAGCCAACACTCTGAAGTTAGACCTCTAGCCTCCTAAACTGTAAGAGATAAATTTGTTTGGTAAAACCATCTACCTGTGTTATTTCTGTTATAGCAGCACTAAAGAACTAAGACAGGGGTCTAACTTTATTTTCTATAAGATGAATTGCCATTTGTGCCAACACCATGTATTAAATAAATACATCCTTTTTCCAATGAAATAAAATATTATTTTTAACCTATGTTAAATTATCAGATATTGTGAAATCTTTTCAAGGGTCTTTCAAACCACAGGTCAGGACTAATGTGTTATTTCTAAAATCAGTTTAATACACTTTAATCAGGATTTTAAAAAATAGAAAAAGAAAATATCTGACTACATACTATGTAATAGGGTTACATACTATGTAATAGGGTTAAATATATCATGAAGCACTATTTCAATTTTGCACATACACAGCTACATGGTCATTATGTATGTAAAGTATATTTTTTTATTGTGAATTATATTAAGTAAAGTTAGAAAGTAACTCCTCCATTGTTTTCCACTTATCTACTCCTTTTTTTCCATACCATATTTATCTGATTTTAATGGCTTTAGACTATGGGATGGTATCTGGTAGGCCAAGTGCTTCCCATTTTGCATACTTTTTTGGCTATTCATGACTTTTTGTTTCCACATGAAATATAGGATCATTTTTACTAACATTAAAAAACAAAACAATAATACTCCACTTTTCCTGTTATACTAGAATTGCTAATTCAGGAGACTCTTTCACAACATTAAGTTTAACCAACTAAGTATTTGGTGTATCTTCTCATTTCTGAAACACGGTTATGTTTCCACAGCCCTCTTATATACATTCTGTGGCTTATCTGTTAAATTTAATTCTGAGTATTTTATAGTTGTTTTCATTGTTGTGTGTTCATTGCAAATATAAGGCCCATGGATGGTGCAAATGGTCTGTGATCCACAGAAGAAAAACCAAACCAAACCTATTGCCTTCTAATAGATTCTGATTCATAGCCACTCCCACTGAGTTTCCAAGGTGGTAAATCTTTACAGAGTAGATTGCCTAATTTTCCTTTCATGGAGCTGCTGGTGGGTTTAAGATGCGAAACTTCTGATTAGCAGTCAAATGCCTTAGGTACTGAGCCACCAGAATGCCTTCCACAGAAGAAAGGCCCAGTAAAATGCTTCCAAAAAGACTGCAGCTAAAGAAACCCTATGGAGTAGTTCTATTCTGCAACACATGGGGTCACCATGTCTTGGAAGTGATGATATGACAGCAATGGGAAAGGATAGCAAATATAGAGAAGCAATTAGTTTTGTTTATCTTATATCTGGCTATCTTACATGATTCTCTTATTCTATTATTAAATCATATTTCCTAGGTTCTCAAGTAAAATGTTAGGTAATTTGGTAAGATAAATGGTAATACTAGGAATCCTATTTAGTTCCTCATTTTAAAAAAGCAGTTTAAGTAGCATACATAATAAATGAATTATTTAAATGATCAAGAATCGTTTCTCTCTGTATTACAGGCTCCATCCCTACTTCTTGCCTCCATCTTTTCTGCAGCTTCTAAACTGTGCTACCAGTGAGAATTCCCAGCTTCTAATGCTTGGGTGGAAGAAGCGAAGAGAGGTGTTCATGGCTCTCAAGATACAATTAAAAATATCTATCCATCCATTCATCCATGCATACATGGCACAAGGCAAGATGCTGAAGGGATCATTAAGAAATCAAAAATATCCAGAAAGATAATCAAAGAGGGAATATAAAACTTGTAAATAAATTATTTAGTCACTATAAAAATGATAAGCCAAGATATGCAAAGGTAAAGCACAATGGAATATTAGAGGAAAGATACCTATTTCCCATAAACGTAGTTACAAGTGGTGGTTAGTTATAAACTACAATACTACTGTAACTTAGATATAATATGGATTAAAAAGCTTTCGTTAATTAGCTGAACTTAATTATCACATATGTCACTATCTCTTAGGGAAAAATTATTTCCAAATGATCCACTTATAAATGGCGACATCCATATGTTTCTTAAAGACCACTTGGTAACAATCCCAATGGTAACTGGACTATCAGTAAAGGGAAATAACAAAAAGAATAGATCAAGAACCTGGTATTAACAATGACCTTTCCTGATTATCCCTTAATTGAAAACAATTAATTTTCTTCAATAAAAATAAAGAATACATAAATCTCTCTCTATTATAATTTTATCTCAAAAATAGAAATTTTATAAAATCAGATAACACAAGATTTTAATTATAAAATTTATAATTCAGTTTTAAAATTAACAGTCTCCTACATATGAAAAAATATTATAATCTAAAATTTTCACCAGGGTCAAATATTTTCATCTTTGAATTTACACAGTGTAAAACAGCAAAACATGGCTGCTACATAAACCAACCAGTTTATCGGTTAATTCATGCTATAAAAATATTACTGACATTTCATGTGGTCACCCATCTTAAAGGTTAATTCTGTTTCCTGTTTTAGATTTTATTCTAGGTGAACTGTTCTGGACAGATTCTATTTACCTATTCTGAACAAACCACAGACTGTTTCATTGCTCACTCTTACTGTTAAGAACATATTGACTTGCTGCCTGCTCTGCTGTTTAATTCATTTATACTGAGAGTCAGGCATGAAGACAGAATTTTAAATGTGACATTTGCAGGCTGTTAGGTCATTTAAGCTCTGACAACACTAGGGAATTCCTGACATATAAACTGGACCTGATTACCAAGCACAGATGAAGCTTCCCAAAGAGGTAAATTTCCAATCATTTTTTGTAATTTCTCAAGAGAATTTTAATATTAAATTTTAATGTCAATAAAAGGATTTATATAGGCAACATTTTAAAGTAAAAGCTAATGATTCTTTTAATAAGCTCAAACTGGCTGTTCTTTAAATAAACCCGTATCAGCTTAAAAAAAAAAAAAAAGAAAACCTTTTAATTGACAAAAACATAGGAAAGACTCAGAATAATAATTAAATTCTGACATTTAAGGTCTTTTATCATTTCCTATAATTTGTGAGGTTCTGAAAAGCCTGTTTGGTAAAAAGGCTATAACTCTAGTCAACAAATCATTTTAAATGATTAAAATTGGGCCCACCAGGACGGAGGTTATATGTTGTCAAAATTACAGTCCAAAATCTAAGCTTTAAATGTTTACAATACTGCCTTCTCTAACCGTTACATAGAAGGGATGATAGAGACACTGTAATCAGAAATGGAAAAATTGCTCAAATGACATTTAGAATTATACTTTATAGGGGTTGATAATGGGGGAAGGAGTGGAAAAATCGTGTAAGATTGTTTTCTCTTTTTAGCCACTCAAAAAGAATTATCCAAATAATTTTTTCAGCTTTTTTTTTCTTTATCACTAAAAGTACAATGGCTCAAAATGAAAGTTTTCTGGAAATTAAGTTTTTTTGTTAAGTAAGGCACAAAAGATAATTTTAATTCTACCCTGTATTTTATAATAACCAAGAATTCTAACATTACACAGCAAGTAGCCTTTTAATATTGTGCTTTGAATAAGACTTCCAACTGTAATAGGTATAGTCTAAATAGGGATAGACAGCCTAGCATCCCTTTAAGCTATAGCACATTGATTCTGAAAAATCTAACAAAAGCAATTACTTTTAAGAGATTAAAAATCTAGCTTCTTTCTAAAGAAGAAGGTAGGAAGCAAACCTGGTGTATTATCTGAGCTACAGGAAGTTGCTCAGCGTATTTCAGAGGTTCTATTAGCTCCCCATCCATCTGGTCTTCCTTATATCTAGAAAAAAGAAATGGAAAAACATAAAGCTAAGGTATTTAAAATACTGTTTTTAAATATGACAAATACAAAATACATTAAAATATATATATTGAAACTTTTGAATAATCAGTATTTATCAATAATTTTGGAAAAACCACCTAACGATAATTATTTAAATGACAAAATTACAAATATATTCTAATTGGATTAATTGCTATGTAAAAATAAATTAGCTAACAAAACGTAATGTTCTCAGATCCTCTCTTTCATTTTGATGCTTAAAAATATTTAAGAACTATTTTTATACAGTGTACTTTTTAGCATAGCATTTAAAGACACTAAAAATCTGTTCCAACCATGTTTAAGACTTGTCTCTAGCAATCCTTTCTTAATTCTTTATGTAATTTTGCTCCAGCCACATCCAAATACCAGCCACTCCATCACCCCTACCATAGACCCTGCACACCATGATTCTGTGACTTTTCCCATGCTATTTCCTCTGTTTGGACCAACCACGTCTTCTCTGCATTGTTTACTCTTCTTTCAAATATAGTAATTTGTTTACATTTCCCTAGGGTACATTTTTACCTCCTTGAAGACAAAAATCATGTTTTAGTCTTCTTTGTACAGCCAATACTTAGAATGTAATAAACATTCAATAACTATTTATTGAACGAATGTATAAATAAATAAAGATAGCAGCAACCCTGAGAGGTTATTTTTTTCTTAACATGGAAAATATTTTCTTTGGTAACTATATTAACAATGAGATGCAGAGTTGACATAATACCTAATAAAGTATAAAACAGGAAAAGCACAGGCCACCAATAAAAAGTATTTCTCTAAACAACAAAATATTGATAATATGCTTAAAAACTGTTGATGTTTTTATAAATAGCAAATAAACACTGTATTTCAAGACAGTAAGACCTAAACATATTTGATGTTGCTGTTGTTAGTGGCCATCAAGTTGGCTCTGATTCACAGTGACCTTACATGTAACAGAACTAAATGTTGCTCAGGTTTTGTGCCATGCTCACAATTGCTGGTATGTATGAATCCACTGTTGTAATCAATCTGTCTCACTGAGGGCCTCGTTTTTGCTGATCCTCTAGTTTACCAAACATGATGTCTTTGTCCAGCAATTGGTCCTTCCCTGAACACATGCTGAAAGTGACATGAAATCTCATCATCCTCATTTCTAAGAAGCATTCAGGTTATACTTCCTCCAAGACTGATATTGATATGTTCATTCTTCTGGCAGTCCATGGTATATTTAATATTTGTCATCAACCCACAATTCACATTTTTCAATTCTTCTTTAGTGTTTGTTTTTCACTGTCTACCTTTTGCATGCATATAAGGCAACTCAAAACACCACTGCTTAGATCAGGTGCTTAGCTATCAAAGTGACATTTTTGTTTTCTTAAGATTTTAAAGAAATCTTTTGCAGCAGATTTGCCCAACACAATAGGTCATTTCATTCCTGACCATCACTTTTGTGGGTGCTGACTGCTGACCCAAATAGAATGAAATCCTGACAACTTCAATTTTTTTTCACTATCATAATGTTGCTTACTGGTCCAAATGTGAGGATTTTCATCTTAATTATGTTCCAGTATAATCCATACTGAAGGCTGTAGTTTCTGACTTTCATCAGTAAATGTTTCAAGTCATCTTCATTTTTGGCAAGCAAAGTTACATCATCTGCATATTACAAATTGTTAATGAGACTTCCTCCAATCCTGATGTGGCATTCTTATAATATAGTCCAGCTTCTTAGATTATTTGCTCAGCATACAAATTGAGTAAGTATGATACAACCCTGTTGCACACCTTTTCCAATTTTAAGCCATACAAAATTCCCTTGCTCTGTTCAAACTAATGCCTCTTAATCTATGTATAGCTTCTGCATGAACACAATTAAGTGTTCTAGAATTCTTGTCCTTCACAATGTTATCTATAATTTATTATGAACCACACAGATGAATGCCTTCTTGTCATCAATATGTTTACCTGTGTTTACAATGCCTTAGGCACTATGCCACCAGAGCTCCTATAGGTAAATATCTTTCTGATATTCTCTGCTTTCAGCCAGGATCCATCTGACATCAGCAATGATATCCCTCATTCCATGTACTCTTCTGCATCCAGTTTAAATTTCTGCCAGTTCCCTATTGATATACAGCTGCATTCTTAAATTATCTTCAGGAAAATTTTGCTAGCATATGATGTTAATGACACTGCTTGATAATTTTTGCATTACATTTGATCGCCTTAAACTTATCTTTTTTCTTTGTGAATTACATGTCAACTTACCAACTTAAAAACCTATCTACTTCAAATCCCTACCCTTACTTACCTGCTTCAAATCCTTTCAAAACAGGTTGTTGTTTTTGTTGTTAGTTGCTATAGAGTCAGCTCTGACTCATGGGAACTATGTATAACAGAAAGAAATGTTGCCTGGCTTTGTGCATCAATCCATCTCAATGAAGGTTTCCCTCATTTTAAATGACCTTCTAACAACCATGATGCCCTCTTCTATCGATTGCTTTCTGATGATATATCCATGACGAGTGGGTTAAAGTCTCATCATCCTTGCTTCTAAAGAGAATTTTGGTTGTATTTTTTCAAGACTGATTTGTTCTTTCTTTAGGCAGTCCATGGTACAGTCAATATGTTTGCCAACACCACAATTCAAATGTACCAATTCTTCCTTGCTTGGGTCAGGTGCACCTTAATCATCAAAGTAACATCTTTGCTTTTTAAAACTTTAATGAGGGCTTTTAAAATGGATTTGCCCAATGTAATACATCATTTGATTTCTTAACTGCTGCTTCCTTGGACACTGATTGTTGATCCAAGCAGAATGAAATTTTTGACAACTTCAAAGTAGCAGCAGTTGCTAGTTTGTTTCTTTCAACTCAACATGTTTAAACTTTTTTCTTGAGCTAAATCAGTAACTTGAAAATAAATGAAATCTATAATGTTAACTTTTTTAGTTTTTTTTTAATTTTTTATTGGTGTAAAAATATAAATAACACATTTGCCAAGTTAAAATTTTTCATGTGTACAATTTAGTGGCATCAGTGACATTAATCATATTGTGTAACAATCATTAATATACATTGCCAAGTTTTCCATCGTCATAAACAGAAACTCAATATTTCCTAACCAATGACTCACCTTTTCTCTCTCTCAGCACCACTGGTAACCAGTAATAAACTTTGGTCACTCTATAACTTAATGTTCCTTAACTTTAAAAACTTTATTGCATTTTATTGAAAGTTTACACAGTAAATTAGATTTCCATTAAACAATTCATACACAAACTATTCTGTGAAATTAGTTTCAATCCCTTCAATGTGTCAACATTGTCACCATTTCCACCCCACCTGCCCTGTTCCTCCATCCAGTTTCCCTACCCCTCCTGTCTTCTCATCTTTGCTTTTGGATATATGTTGAATGTTTGGTCTCCTATAGTTGATTGTTTAAAGAGGCACACTTCTCATGGGTATTAGTATTTATTTTATAGGCCAATCTATTATTTGGCTGGAAGGTGACCTCCGGAAGTGGCTTTAATTTCAGTTTAAAACAGTATCTTTTCTTTATCAGTCCTGTAAGTATGGTCTTTTTTTTAATGGAACCAAGAGTTGGTTTTTTGTACATATATATATATACACACACACACACACACACACACACACACATAAATTGTGATTTGGGTGAAAGTTTACAGAGCAAATTCACTTTCCATATAGCAGTTCACATACACTTTGTCTCATGACATTGACTACAATTTACCCCAATGCAACAGCTCCCCTCCCACTTCCTCCTGATCGTTACCTCTTCCCTGTGTCCATCCCTCCATTCACTCCTGCCCCCTGAGCAATCTCCCTGTGCATACACAGCCCTTCTATTCTCCCATGATTGTTCTCTCCAAGGAATGTATCTACGTAATGTAAATGTTCACCTCATATGCCTGTCTTTTGTTTGGCTGGAAGCCACAGGAGTGGGTCCAATTACAGCCTGAAGAGCAGCTAGGAGCCAGAGTCTCAGTGGTTCGTTCCATCAGGCTGTATCAGACAAGCAAACCTGGTCCCCCCCCTTTTTTTTTCCAAATGATTTTCAGTTTTGTTTCACATTGTTCTCCCACTCAACACAGGATCTCCTACATAGATCCCCCTCCAAGTGGTTGACAGTGGTAGCCGGGCACCATCTAGTTCTTCTGATCTCATAGTCATATAGGCTGAGGATCTCATGGGGTATACCAGTAGCTTGGACTAATTGTTTCTGTGAATCTTTGGTCTTCTTTATTATTCTTTGCTCTGGGTGAGGAGAGACCCATCGTTGCATTTGGATTGCTACTCAAAGATCCCAATCGCTACTTGCCAAAGTAGGATGTGGAACAATGTTTTGTGTAGGATGTTATGCCAGTTGAGCTAGGCATCCCCTGTGACTATGGTCCCAAGCAGAGAAGTCTAACTACTCACTCTCTCTTGGTAGCTGGCTGTGGCCAAGAAGTGACTACAACCTTGTCCCTTGTCAGCTTTACTATATGCCTGGGAATTCTTACAGAACATAGCAATACACCTGCAGAAACATTGTCTGCCAAAGCATGGCCTTTTTTATGAATGTTTGGTTCTTCATTTTTCTCCCATTCTAATCAGGACCTACTATTGTGTCCTTGGCTTAACAGTCAGTAGTAGTAGCCTAGGAACCAACTAGACCTTCTCGTCTCAGGCTAGAAGAGGCTGTGATTCACATGGGCCTGTAGCCTAATTTCTTCCTTGAGTCTTCATTCGCCTTTGGTCCAGACAAGCAGAGACCAACAGTTGTATGTTAGACAGAGTTCCTTAACTTTTCAATTATGTAAGTTCTATCAACTTCTATCTTTCTCACAAATAGATGTTTACTATAAATGAAGTTTATAAGAAGGGATTATGGAATGAGGATAATATTAGAAAACATCGAGAATCCAACAGAATTTGCTATAGGTTACAGGATGATTTTGAATG